GCCATCTTATAGCCACATCATGTTATCTTATTGTTCTAATTGGCATTTCCCCAGGACACGTGATGTGGAGCATCTTTTCACAGGCTTATTTGCCATTTGTATATCTTTTTTGGTGAGGTATCTTGATCGTTTGCCCGGTTTTTATTGGGTTGTTTTCTTATCTTTGAATTTTAAAAGTTATTTGTATGTTTTGGATCCAAGCCCTTTCCCAGATACCTTTTTTTTTTTTTTTTTTTTTTTTTTGTAGCAAATATTTTCCTCCCAAGTTCTGTAGCCGTTTTCTCTTTTTAAACTTTTGCTATTTTTTGTTTTGGGGGTAGAATCTTACTCTGGACTTCAGCGTGGAGTGCGAGTGTGTGATCTTCAGCTACTTGGTAAACCTGTGCGTCGTGGGGTTCAAGCAATTTCTCTCTTCAGCTCCGAGTAGCTGGGGGTGTGTGCCCGACGCCGGCTAATTTCGGATTGTTTTTTGAAGTTTAGAGACGGGGTTTCTATGTTAGCATGTGGTTTGAAACTCCCTGATTTAGTGTTGATCACCACCTTCTTCCCAAGAGTGTGGGATAAGTTGTGAGTAACCAGTGCACGTGTGCGAACTGTTTGGTCATGTTTGAAATTGTGTACTTTTATTAATGAGTGTTGAGGTTATTTATATTTTTTCTAGGTCAAGACCATTATCAAAATGTGATGATTTTGCATTTCTTCTCACATTTTTGAGTTGTTTTTTATTTTTTTTTCGTAGACACAGGGGCTGCTGTGTTGCTCCAGGCGTGATCTCAAACGTCTGGTCAAGTGATATCCCTTTGCCTCCAAAGTGTGATTTACAGGCTTGAGCCAGTGTGTCTGCTTGGCTGTTTTTTTTTTTTTTTTTAAATAACTTGTATTTATGTTATTCTTTGGCGGATGACAAAAGGCATTTTTAATTTTGATGGAATCGGATTTCTGATTATTTTTTCTTGTCATTGTGGCTTTTGGTGGTCATGTCATAGGGAAGGCTGTTGCGACCGGTTCCACCTTAGAATATAAGAATTCCAGTGTAACTTTATCCTTTGCAGGGTTCACATGTGACGCTGATGCGTACTTTGTTTGATTTTTGAGAAAATTGAGCAGTTGAGTCAGAGAGTGATGTTTGTGGAGGGTTCCCCTTCCTATGTATGGTTTCTTTTGTTTTTTTGGTGTTAAAACGGGAGGGCTTGTGGGGAGGCGCCTTGGTTAGGGGAGGTACGCAGCTGAATAAGGAGGAGAGACAGCGCGGTGGGAGAGAGAGCGGAGAAGATCGACGAGCAGCATTTGGAGCCCATGGCCCGATGATCAAGCGGCCGGGCGGGAGGAGAGGAAAAGACTGGAGTAGGAGGTCAAGAGGAGGAGGAGTGGTCTGGGCGAAGGAGTAGCGGAGCGCGCCGAGTGTGCGGTGTGTGGGAGAGATTAGGCGGAGTTCGTAGAGCTGTCAAAGGGCGGGTTGGGAGCTTCGGGTGTGTGTGATCTGTTGGGGTGTTTTGTTTTTTTTTTTAGACGAGTCATCGCTCTGTCGGCTGGAGGTTGGAGTCGGGAGTGCGGAGCGGTAGGACTTGAGACTCACTGCAACTTCTGTCTCCCGGGTTCAAGCAATTCTTGTGCCTCAGCCTCCCCAGAGCTGGTATTACAGGCACGTACCACCATGCCTGGCTAATTTTTGTATTTTCAGTAGAGAAGGGATTTCGCCATGTTGTCCAGGCTTGTCTCGAACTCTTGACTTCAAGTCATCTGCCAACCTTGGCTTACCAAAGTGCTGGGATTACAAGCATGAGCCACTGTGCCCAGCCTTGGATTTTCTTTTTTTCTTTCTTTTTTTTTCTTTTGGTGGGGACAAGATCTCACTCAGTTGCCCAGGCTAGAGTGCAGTGGCACAATCTTGGCTCACTGCAACCTCCACCTCAAGTGATCCTCTCACCTCAGCTTCCTAAGTGGCTGGGACTACAGGTGTGCACCATCATGCTTAGCTAATTAAATTTTTTTTTTTTCCGTAGAGGTGGGGTCTCACTATGTTGCCCAGGCTGGTCTCAAACTCCTGGGCTCAAGTGCTCCACCCACCTTGGCCTCCCAAAGTGCTGGGATTATAGGCGTGAGCTGCTGCACCTGGCCAGGGATTTTTTTTAAACCATTTCCTCACAACCTGCAGATCCATCTGCAGTTGGCCTCACCCACCTGCCAGCACCAGTGAGAACCTGGAACGGTGATGAGCTGTTTCCAACCACTTTTACTGATTGAAACACAGTTTTTCAAAATAAATGACCTATTAGTTTTCTGCGGCTGCTGAAAGTAGGAAAACTCAAATAGGTTGTTTTCTTCCACCACATTCTCAACACCCGGCAGACTTGTGCTCACCAAATGTGCAGGGTGTCCCCACACCCACCGATTCTCTGACACCAGCCGGGTGTCCTACAATTCATTTCCATCCTGACACTAACCCCACAGGTGATGGACAATGGTCCTGCGAGATTACTCCCCACTTCTGATGCAACTGCGAGTCCCAGGGTGTTGCCTGTACTTCTAACAGAATGGCCATAAAATTAGGGTTCCCATGACACTCCCTTTGGGTTTGATACTTTGCTCTGATGGCTCACAGAACTCCAGAGAACACTTATATTTTCTGGGTTATTATATTAATAAAGGATACGATAAGGGATGCAGATGAACAGCGGGATGAAGTGGAGCTTAGGGAAGGGTCTGTGGGAAGGGGCGGAGCTTCACGCCCTCTCTGGCCACACCCCACTCCAGATACCTCCAGTGTTCAGCAACTCGGAAGCTCTCTGAACCCCACAGTTCAGGGGGTTTTCCGGAAGCTTCAACACGTGGGCATGATGGATGATTAACTCCATTTCCAGCCCCTCCGCCCTCTCTGAAGGACGAGGGTGGGGCTGAAAGCTCCAAGCCTCTCATCAAGACTTGGTCTCTCTGGTCTGGAAGTCACCCCGCCCCCAAGGGCCCCTTCAGACAAAAGATCTCCCTGTCACCCTGGACGAAGGTCTTAGGAGCTCTGTGCCAGGACCTGGGCTTGAAGATAAAATATTAGAACAAAACAGCCTTCTAGCACCCCTATCTACCGGGGTTTTAGGAGCTCTGTTTCAGAGATAAATGTATCTTGTCCTTTGTAATTTCATAGCAGCCACAACAAATTACCACAAAATTAGTGGCTTAAAAAACACAAATTTGTTACCTTATTGCAGTTCTGTGGGTCAGAAGCCCAAAATGGGTTTCACTAAGCTAAAATTGAGGTGTCTTAGGGTTGTGCTCCTTCTGGGGGCCCCAGGGGAGAACCCGCTTCCTTGCCTTTCCCACCTCTAGAGGCCGCCTGCGTTCCCTGGCTCGTGGCCCCTTCCTCCAACTTCCAGGCCAGCAGTGTGGCATCTTCCAGCCTCGTTCTGGCTCTGACACGCCTGCCTCTCTATTCTGAGAGCCCTTGTGATTCTTTTGAGCCTGCCTGGATAACCCAGGACAATTTCCTGATCTCAGGGTTCTAGATCCTAATCACATCTGCACAGTCCCTTTGTCCGTGTAAGGTAACATATTCATAGTCTAAGATTAAGGTGTGAACATCTTTGGCTAATATTTTTGTATTCTTTTTTTTTGTAGAGACAGGGCCTTGCTGTGTTGGCCAAACTGGTCTCAAACTCCTGGCCTCAAGCAATCCTCCCGCCTCAGCCTCCCAAAGTGCTGGGATTATAGATGTGAGCCACCGCACCTGGCCACATACACATTTTTATGTAAAAATGGCATAATTATGTTGCTTCCTGTCTAGTCTTTTGAATTAGCATACTATAACTATTTTCCATACAATAGATATTTTCTTACTACATATATTTTGTCTTTTCCCAACTTTTTGTTTTGAAATGTTAAAAATTTTCAGAAAAGCTGAAATAGTAAAATATAGTTGTATGTCTGCATTTATTAATAGATTCTGTGGTTTTTCATAATTTGCTACACATATTTGCCACACACACACACAAACACACACACACACACACACACACTTTGCTTTTCCCCTGAACCATTTGAAGATAAAGGCAAACGACATAGCCTTTAAATCCCCAGTGCTTCAGCATGCATCTCCTAAGAACTTCTTGTGTTCTGTTTTCTTGATGGCTGTAACTTGTTCCATTAAAGGGCTGTGCTCGGCAGCGCCTTCACGGGCATTTGGCTCCCGTCATTATCCACTGTAAACAACACTAATGAACATCCCTCAAGGATACTTCTTTTTTTTTTTTTTTTTTGAGACAGTCTCACTCTGTCACCTAGACTGGAATGCAGTGACTCACTGCAACCTCTGTCTCCTGGGTTCGAGCGCTTCTCCTGTCTTGGTCTCTCTAGTAGCTGGGATTATAGGCATGTGCCACCCCACCCAGCTATTATTATTATTATTATTATTTTAGTAGAGACGAAGTTTCACCATGTTTGCCAGGCTGGTCTTGAACTCTTGACGTCAAATGATCTGACTGACTGCCTGGGCCTCCCAAAGTGCTGGGATTACAAGCATGAGCTACCACGCCCAGCCCCTGGAAGAAACTTTTTAAACTGTGTTCCTTATTTATTTATTTATTTATTTTGGACACAGAGTCTTGCTCTGTCTTCCAGGCTGAAGCGCAGTGACACGATCTTGGCTCACTGCAGCCTCCACCTCCCAGGTTCAAGCGATTCTCCTGCCCCAGCCTCTTGAATAGCTGGGACTATAGGCGCGTGCCACCACGTCTGGTTAATTTTTTGTATTTTTAGTGGAGAGGGGGTTTCGTCATGTTGGCCAGCCTGGTTTTGAACTCCTGGCCTCAAGTGATCCACCCTCCTTGGCCTCCCAAAGTGCTGGGATTACAGGCACGACTCACTGCACCCAGCCCCTCGAGGACACGTTTTTAAATGGCATTCCTGACCTCTTTCCTGGTCTCAGAAGTTTGCTGTGAGCCCTTGAAGTATGCACGAACACCCTGTCCTCCTGGGACACTCCCACATTCACCTTTGCATTTTCCACCAGTAGGGGAGACGACATCTTCAGACGATGGTGAGAACGTGCCTGCCAGTGAGGAAGGCAAGGAGGAGCCTCCCGGGGACAGAGAAACAAGGCAGAAGATGGAGCTATTTGTTAAGGAAAGCTTTGAGGCCAAGGATGAGCTCTGCCCAGAAAAGCCAAGTGGAGGAGAGGAGCTGCCTGTGGAGGTTAAAGGAGAGGATGGAGATCGAGAGCCAGAGGGGACCCTCCCAGCTGAGCCCCCACTACTGGCGCCGCCTGTGGAGGTTAAAGTAGAGGACGGAGATCAAGAGCCAGAGGGAACCCTCCCAGTTGAGGTCCCACTACTGTTGCCACCTGTGGAGGTTAAAGGAGAGGATGGAGATCAAGAGCCAGAGGGAACCCTCCCAGCTGAGCCCCCACTACTGTCGCCGCCTGTGGAGGTTAAAGGAGAGGACCGAGATCAAGAGCCAGAGGGGACCCTCCCAGCTGAGGCCCCACCACCGCCGCCCCTCGGAGCTGCCGGGGAAGGTAACGTGAGCAGAGAAACACACACAGACACACACGCCCCTCAGGGAGCCCCAGCCTTTGACTCAGGCCTCTGTGTTGCTGTTTCTAGAAGATAATGTACGCAAGTTGTCTTGTTATCTGGAACAGTGCTGCTCAACAGAAATGGAATAGGAGGCTGGGCGCGGTGGCTCACGCCTGTAATCCCAGCACTTTGGGAGGCCGAGGTGGGCGGATCATGAGGTCAGGGGATCGAGACCATCCTGTAACACGGTGAAACCCCGTCTCTACTAAAAATACAAAAAAGTTAGCTGGGCGAGGTGGCGGGCGCCTGTAGTCCCAGCTACTTAGGAGGCTGAGGCAGGAGAATGGCACCAACCCGGGAGGCGGAGCTTGCAGTGAGCTGAGAACGCGCCACTGCACTCCAGCCTGGGCGACAAAGTGAGACTCTGTCTCAAAAAAAAAAAAGAAAAAGAAAAAAAGAAATGGAACAGGAGCCACTACTAGATTCTCTAGCCCTATTTTAAAAAGTAAAAGGAACTTTGGAAGGCCAAGGCCGGAGGGTTGATTGAGGCCAGGAGTTTCAGACCAGCCTTAGAAACATAGTGAGACCTCATCCCTACCAAAACTACAAAAATTAGCTGGGCATGGTGGTGTGCCCCTGTAGTCCCAGCTACTTGAAAGGCTGAGGCAAGAGGATTGCTTGAGCCCCAGAAGTTGAGGCTGCAGTGAGCCAAGATTGCGCCACTGCACTCCATCCTGGGTGACAGAGTGAGACCCTCTCTCAAAAAATAAATAAATAAATAATTTAAAAATTAAAAAGAAACAGTAAAAGTATTAATGATATATTTGATTTAACCCAATATATAAAAAATACAATCATGTTAACATGGAATTAATATAAAAATTATCAATGAGATATTTTACTTATTTTTAAAAAATTAAGTCATCAAAATTCACTATGTATTTGACATGGCCGAATGGTAACTTTTTAATGGTGAAAAGTGGGCCATTCATCTCTGACATAAATGAAGCCCAGAGAGCAATGGAGGGATCAGAGTACAGGACCCAAGGATACAGCCTGGGGGAAGAGTAGGGGCAGGCCCTGCGAGGTGGCTCACTCATGTAATCCCAGCACTGTAGGAGGCCAAGGCGGGCAGATTGCTTGAGGCCAGAAGTTCGAGACCAGCCTGGCCAACATAGTGAGAAATCCCCCTCCCTGCAACCCCTGAGCATCTACAAAAAAACACAATAAATTAGCCGGGCATGACGATGACCACTTGTAGGCTGAGGTGGGAGGGGTAGGGGACAGGAGGTTGAGGCTGCAGTGAGCTGAGATCACACCACTGTACTCCAGCCAGGGTGACAGAGTGAGACCCTGTCTCAAAAAAATAAAAATAAGTAAATAAAAAGGAAAAGTAGGGGCCTGGACGAGGACGGGGCCCATCACGATTCCACATTCCTCAGGCAATCTTGCAGTTATGAAATTGCACAAGCCCTGACCCTCGTGCAGCAGGAGGGGCGTGTGCCTGGCTGAGGGACAGGCCGGCGGGGGGCTGTGAAGCCTGCCCCTCCGTCTCTGAGTGAGTCACCCCTGCTGGCATCACTTGTTGCCCCACAGCGGCTGCCATTTCCAAGATTCCTGTGGCTGCTGCTTTGACTCCTGGATGGTGCTCTTCATCTTATGGGATTCGCCTCCAGGTTATAGAAAGGGGGAGCTGTCCCATTCTTTTCCCAGCAGACGGAAGCCTGTCGTGAGCTGCGGCCTCTGTCATGGAGGCTGGCCTTTGGGCCCTGAAGAGGGTTTTTGTCTTTTTTTTTTTTCCAGAGGAGTCTCACTCTGTCACCCAGGCTGGAGTGCAATGGTATGATATTGGCTCATTGCAACTTCCACCTCCTGGGTTCAAGTGATTCTCCTGCCTCAGCCTCCCGAGTAGCTGGGACTACAGGCGCCCGCCACCACACTCGGCTAATTTTTGCATTTTTAATAGAGACAGGGTTTTTGCTATGTTGGCCAGGCTGGACTTGAACTTCTGACCTTGGGATCCACCCACCTTGGCCTCCCAAAGTGCTGGGATTACAGGCATGAGCCACCGAGCCTAGACCCTGGGAGCCCTTCTTCACCGTGGGCTTGTCCATCTGCCTGCTGTGTGTTAAACTAACTCCAAGACTTGTTGTTGCTCTTTAGAGCGGACTCCCCAGGCTGTGGCCGCTGAGGGTGGATTCGTTACAGGACCTGATGGGACGAGAATGGAAGATTTAGAAACCGTTAGACTGGAGACAAAGGAGACATTCTGCATCGATGTACGTGAAGTATTTAATCTTGGAGATAAGTATCAGTTTTACTGTTAGTAAAATAGGTGATCAGATGCAAACTCTGGAGATCCTCAATACCCCAAGTGTGGTCCTTGGGCCGGCAGGCCTGGCATTGCTGGGGCGCTGGTTAGAAATGCAGACTCCCAGGCCTCACCCCAGGCCTACTGATCAGAATCCAACTTTAATGCACTGCCCTAGGTGATTCGTGCACGTGCATGCTCAAGTTTGGGGAGCCTGGGCCCAAATCACTACCCTTGAGCCATGTCTACCACACTCGATTCGTTTTTGCTAAAGAAGCTACCTTGCTAAGCAGTTCTGACTAGTTGCCTTATCCAAATTGGTGGTGAGAGTTACATTGTATCATCAGAGTTACATTGTATCATCAGAGTTACATTGTATCATTATACATTGTATCTTTTTCCTCCTCCTTGGACACCACCCCGCAGGTAGCTCAGGCTCTCACTGGCCTTCTGACTCATGGAAGTGTGACGGTTCAGTGTCCCATTCCCTTGAGTGAATGTTTGATCGCAGCCTTGCCTGTCACTCTTCCCTGAAGCTCTTCCCATTTTGATGACAGTCCCAAATGCTTAGGCCCACAAGAACGGTACCATGGGAATTCACACATTGTGTCACAACCCCTCAAGAACTGTCCTTTGATGGGGCAGGAATAGGAGAGGCATTTCTGGGCACCTCTGACCTCATACCTTGGAGAGGTGGCCCCCTCCCCACTTCCTTGTTAAACTTCTCCTAAACTGGTGTTTCTAATGTCCAAACTTCAGGACTTCACATGGCCCAGTAAGAGTTAAAGTGATCACAGTCAGAATTCATAGTGGGTTTCCAGTTTTCTGGAGCTATGTAAAAAAAGAAACAAAGGCCAGGTGTGGTGGCTCACACCTGTAATCCCAGCACTTTGGGAGCCCGAGGTGGGTGGATCACATGAAGTCAGGAGTCAGCCTGGCCAACACGGTGAAACCCCGTCTCTACTAAAAATACAAAAAAAAAAAAAAAAAAAAAAATTAGCTGGGCATGGTGGCAGGTCCTGTAATCCCAGCGCTACTTCGGAGCTGAGGCAGGAGAACTGCTTGAACCCAGGAGGCGGAGGTTGCAGTGATCCAAGATCTTCACCACTGCACTCCAGGCCTGGGCGACAGAGTGGAGACTCTACTTCAAAAAAAAAAAAAAAAAAAAAAATAGAAAGAAAGAAAGAAAAACATATTTGGGCAATTATCTCTTCACATTTGGAGAACTGACCATATAGATAAACTACAAACTAATAGCTAATATTAGTTGGTTTCTTATTATATGCGTGATACCTATCTAAGTCTACGACTTGTATTGATTGATGTAACCTTCTGCTCAACTCTAAGTGGTACATACTATTATCATCGCCAATTTTCCCAGATGAGAAAATGAGAGAAACAGAGAGGTTAGCAACTTGCCCAAAGCCACACAGCTAGAAAATGGTGGTGGGGGAGTAACAACCCAGGCACGTGGCTCCAGTCATGCATACAACCCAGCCACTGGTTTTTATGGGACAAAGACACCAAACAAACACCCACAATACAAAAAAGTACTCCCTACCAGTTTTGGGGAGATACAAAGATATGTATCTTTTATCCACATAGAGTTTTTGGGAGCAGTTGTGTATCAGAGGGTGCAATGTTGGTTTGGGTCCCCATGTATTCCTCCTAAGATGACATGAACTGTATCTCTTAAATAAAGAAACAGAAAAAAGATGTGGAAAGTTCTTTAAATACTGTCAATATCTTGTCGAAGTTCCTTTCTTTTATTAGATTCCAGGACCACCCTGAGAAGTGGCAACGCTGCTTTGGTGTGTGCTATGAGGTTGGTCTGGCGTGGGGAACAGGCAGAGGAGTCACCCCAAGTGATTTTGAGGTAACTTTAAGCAAGGCTGGTTGGAGTGCGGTGTTTGCCGTTATCGTGCCTCAGAACGTTGACAGCGCATGTGCATCCCCTGGTGATGTGCGGCTCACTTCTTTCAGACGCTACCTACGCGCTTGGAAGATGACGATGAAACAGGCAAATCTCTGGAGCACAGGTTAAGTCATTAGTCCATTTTCCCACAGTCAGCTTAATTCCACCGTCATTCTTGTCGTTTACAGTTCTCTCTCAAAACTTGAAAGTAAAATGTTCCCTGTGCATAAAGCATTGAATCCCCATATTCTCTTGTTTTTCTTTTTCTTTCTTTTCTTTTTTTTTTTTTTTTTTTTGAGAGTGGAGTCTTGCTCTTCACCCAGGCTGGAGTGCAGTGGCCGGATCTCAGTCATTGCAAAGCTCACCTCGGGTTCACGCCATCTCCTGCCTCAGCCTCCAGAGTAGCTGGGACTACGGGCATCCGCCACCACACCCGGCTAGTTTTTGTATTTTTTTTTAGTAGAGACTCGGGTTTCACCGGTGTTAGCCAGGATGGTCTCGATCTCCTGACCTCGTGATGCCGCTTGTCTCGGCCTCCCAAGGAGTGCTGGGATTACAGGCTTGAGCCACTGCGCCCCGGCCCTTTTTTTTTTTTCAGGCAGAGTCTGGCTCTGTCGCCAGGCTTGGAGTGCAATAGCCTGTTCCGCTGGCTCACTGCAACCTCCACTCCTGGGTTGTCAAGCGATTCTCCGCCTCAGCCTCCCATGTAGCTGGGATGACAGGCATGTGCCACCACGCCCAGCTAAGTTTTGTAGTTTTAGTAGAGATGGGATTTCACCATGTTGGCCAGGCTGGTCTCAAACTCCTGACCTCAAGTGATCCACCTGCCTCAGCCTCCCAAAGTGCTGGGGTTACAGGTGTGAGCCACCGCACCCAGCCCACATCCCCCATATTTTCACCTTGCTGAAGGAAATGCCATTTGTTCTTGTTCAATTCTTTAAGATTTTATGATTAACCCCTTGAGAATCTATTGCTGGTTTGTAACAGCTGAGCACGGTGCAGTTACCTGAAAGCACTTTCTGTCGTTAAGATGTATTTCTATGTCCATCCTATGAAGGTCTGTCTGAATATAGCTACACATAGAGGGAAAGAAATGAAAACAGGAGAGAGGAAAGAAAGGGGTGAGTCTGTGAGGCACGATGGGGAATTCTCTGAGTGGCGTGACCCTCTGCCCAGAGGCCATGACTGGGATTACCAGGAGCCCATATGTGCCAGACCCGTGCCCTGAGGGAGAAGGAGGCCTCAGCCAACATCTCTGTGCGCAAGCTCGGTGGCAGAGAAAACAGACACAGTTATTGTGGGGGGGCTGCTGTGCAAGGAGCTAATTCTAGAGAGTCTGAGGGAAGCTGGGTTCAGGGGTGTGCCCTCTCGGGTAGCAGGAGGGTGTGGAATAGCCAGTGGCTGGGGGAGCAGAGGCCGGAGAGAAGGGCATGGACATGAGCTGTGCCCAGGGAGTGGCCACCCCACCCCCAGGCCTAACTTTCAGAGTCCTGTGTTCCCTTGGGCCTTTCTTGGATGTGGCAACAGAATAGTTTGTGACATTGGGTGAAAAAGTAGAACTGGCATGGTGCATTGTAGAGTGACTGTTGTGAAAACACAAACTTTCCAACACATCTTTTCTTCTGTGAATAGAACATGTGCTTTCCGAAGATTGAGGTCATCTCGAACTTGAGTGATGACAGTGACCCTGAACTGGACTACACGTCACTCCCTGTGCTGGAAAACCTGCCCGCAGACACTCTGTCAAATATATTTGCAGTCTCTAAAGACACCTCAAAGGCGGCTCGGGCGCCCTTCACAGGCATCTTTATAAAAGAAGCTAAGAGGGACTTGGAAATCCCAAAACAAGACACCGAGTCCCCACGACCCCTGATCCAGGAGCTCAGCGATGAGGACCCCTCTGGCCAGCCACCGATGTCCCCCACCTGCCAAAGAGACGCTGCACCACTCACTTCCAGTGGAGACGGGGACAGCGACTTCCTTGCAGCCTCTTCTTCAGGTAAGAGCATGGGGCCAAGAGCACAGCGGAGATGGTGTTGGCTCCCCGGCCTGGGATGGGTGGGGCAGGGCAGTCACTCAGCCTTACCCCAAGCTTTCATGTTTCTGGAGGGGTCACCTAGGACAGACCACACAGATCCTCTGAAGGTCCCATTCCTGAGTTCACGGCTCTGAAGCTGCCACTTGCTGGTAGCCAGCCTGGGCCAGAAAGCTGCCGAGCCAGCCTGTTCTTGGGCAGCCAAGTCTGACTGTGTGTGAGGGTCACAAGGCACCTGTGGTCATGCAGATCTCCTGGGGCGGGGGCCTAAGGACCCTGCATTTCCACCCCCTCTTCACCATCCCTGGCTCAGCCTTTCTAGACCAAGGCTTTTGGAGGGGACCACCGACACCACTGCTGGGGAGTGTGGGGCAAGCGAGGTGACAGCCGTAGAGGGCGTGGCTGCTCCACAGTGACCCAGGCCTGGGTGAATCACAGGCCAGTCCTACTGGCCTTCAAGGTGGGGAAGGCAAAGGGGCACCAGGCAGGGAAGGCGGCCAGAAGCCTGGCTGCAGAAGACCCAGAAAAACATGCTGAATGTACTGAGGCCTCCCCTCATACTGCAGGCTGGCACATGTGCCTGGCAGATGTGGTTTGGGGGAACAGCTGGTTAGTGCTGAGGACAAGCAAGCTGGGCTGTTTTTTCATTCAGCACCTGCCTTCAGGTGCACCCCCGAATCAGGGGCTGTGTGGTGCCTGGACCATTCTACTCTCACCCAACGCGCATCGGCGGCCGGGCTTTTTTCTGAGGACAGCTGCCTGGCTGACTCCAGACTTGCAGGCAAGAAGCAGGGAGGGCTTGAGTGCATTTCCCAGGAACACTGAGTGGCCTTCTCTTTTCACTCTAGGAACCAGCACAGAAAAGAGAAGTGCAGTCTGAGCTGGAGCCTGTGGAGCCTCGGGTGGGGGCAGGCCTGGAGGACACGCAATAATTTTTGTTTTGTTTTGTTTGAGACAGTCTCGCACTGTGGCCTAGGCTGGAGTGTAGCGATGTGCTCTCGGCTCACTGCAACCACTGCCTCCTAGGTTCAAGCAATTCTCCTGCCTCAGCCTCTGAAGTAGCTAGGATTACAGCGTCACAACGCTGACTAATTTTTGTATTTTTAGTAGAGACGGGGTTTCACCATGTTGACCAGGCTGGTCTTGAACTCCTGACCTCAGGTGATCTGCCTGCCTCGGCCTCCCAAAGTGCTGGGATTACAGGTATGAGCCACCACGCCCAGTCAAGGACACTGAATTTGGCCTGGACTGAACCCCAAGGCTGCCCCCCTGTCCTTGGAGTCACAGTGACAGGGAGAAAGCACAGGTCACCCTTCCTTCCACAGTGCCGACTGAGAGCGCCACCACACCCTCAGAGACGTGTGTCGGAGTTGCCCAGCCCAGCTCGGCCCACGTGGGACCTCACTGCATTCCCAGCACCGGAAGCATCATAGTTCCCCCCAGTTATATGTAGCATAAATGGTTTAATTATAAATGTCTCCTTTAGGCATGATAAACATTTTAACACGCACGCGAGTCGATGTATGATTGGGCTATCTCCTATTTGTGTGAGTCACATGCAATTCCTTTCACCAGCCACCCTGAAAAAAGACTTTTCTCTTACTGTGTCATCAGAAACTAGACAGACCCAGGTCCCTGCAAAATCTCCCGTGGGCCTTTTCCCCACAGGAAAGCAGAATCTTCCACTGCAGCTAGAGAAACTCAGAGGGTAAGGGACTTAATGCTTCAGACATCAAAATGAGAAGGGGAGAGAGGAAAGAAAGGGGGGAGTCCGTGAGGCACAACGGAGAATTCTCCCAAAGTGATATGACCATGACCCTCTCCTCAGAGGGCACTATCAAGAGCCCACAGGTGCCAGACCCACGTCCCGAGGGAGAAGGAACATCAGCCATCATCTCTGTGCGTGAGCTCAGTGTCAGATAGTTACTGTGGCGGGATGCTGTCCAGCCTAAAAACTGTGACCATTCCAATTCATCTTCAGCTGACAAGTTTATTTAATCCCTGAACCTGGATCCAAGGCATCTCCCTGTACAAAACATCAGACCGTGGCAGAGATTGACAAAGCAACCCAAAACAGCAGCTGCCGACGGCCGCCGTGCCCACCTCAGCAGCAGCTCTGTGGGGGCCTCACTCCACCCTCACCAAACACAAGGAAGAGCCAGCACTACTGCCCCATTTCACCAGACAGGAAGGCACGAGAACTGAGACCTGCCTGAGGCCCCCACAGCTGGGGGGCAGCGGAGCCCTGTCTCCCAGCACAGACTAGAATCCCAGTAACACAGGCCCGCCAGCACCTCCAACCTGCCTTTTGGGATGATCCTCAGGCGAATATACAAAATACAGAAGAAACTACTATTATATTTTGTTGCCCTATCCCTTCAACTTGGCTCCAACTTGCTTGGCTCATCATCACAGTGGCCCCCAGGTGGCGGCGAGCTCTGCTTTTCTTCTTTTGAGACAGAGTCTTGCTCTGTCGCCCAGGCTGGAGTGCAGTGGCCAGATCTCGGCTCAGTGCAAGCTCTGCCTCCCGGGTTCATGCCATTCTCCTGCCTCAGCCTCCTGAGTAGCTGGGACTACAGGGGCCCACCACCTCGCCTGGCTAGTTTTTTGTATTTTTAGTAGAGACGGGGTTTCACCGTGTTAGCCAGGATGGTCTTGATCTCCTGACCTCGTGATCCGCCCGTCTCGGCCTCCCAAAGTGCTGGGATTACAGGCTTGAGCCACGGCGCCCGGCGAGCTCTGCTTCTTAAGTTTCAACTGTGGAAGGCACATCTGGTCCCGGAGGAAGGATGAGGGGCTCTCTGGGGCTTGAGGGCAGGCCACCTTGTGTCCTCAGAAGCCCATTCGAGGCTTCTTCCGGGGGCGCTGAGAGCCAGAGAGGATGGGTGTGTGCTGCTGGGAGCGGGTGGTCCAGACGCTGGAGGCCTGGGAGGAGGGGGGTGTGGCGGCACATCCTGGGGTGCCCCTTTGGGGTGGCAGCTTAGCCATGGAGTCATGGAGCATCTGCCGCCGCTCTGCGGGGACGCCCTGGGCACACGCATCCGGAGTCAGCTCCTGGGAGGGTGGGGTCACGGGGGGCTGGGGCAGAGCATCAGCAGGTGGCCACTCAGGGCTGTGAGGGGGGCTGGTGTCCTCTGAGGGGTCCACATGGCTACTGAGCGAAAAGGTGCTGGACAGCTGGGTCCGGCGCTTGGGCCGCCTGGGCTGTCTACCGGGCCCTGAGGTCCTGCCCTGCTGCCTCTCCCACCAGGCAGCCCCTCGGCCTGCCCAGGCTTCCCCCAGGCGCTCACTGAGCTTGTCCTCTGGGCCTGACTCGGGCGCAGGGGGTGGCTCTGCCGCAGGGAGGGAGCCCAGGTCTCTCTGCAGCAGGAGCCGCCCTTGGGCCATGGCCTTGCGGAGCACGTCCGGCCGCTGCCCTTCCTCTTCCTCCCGCCGCCGCTCTATGCTACCCAGCAGCTGGCGGTGGGTGAAGGTGGGTGCTGTCCACACAGGAGGAGCCAGGGGCACTTTTAGCAGGGCCTTCAGCCACTGGCTGCAGCCGGCAGTGTCCTGGGAGGTCCAGGAAGCAGTGGGGGCATGACAGTCAGATTCGGTGTCGCTGCGAGGCCCGGAGTCTCTGCGGTGGTCGGAGTCCGCCTGGGGGCGGAGCTGCTGGTAGAAGACGTCTCCCGCCGCCGAGAGCTGGAAGAGCACCAGGCCTGGTGTGGGCGCCGAGGGCAAGGGTGGGACGACGGCGGCCAGACCTGGTGACAGGAATGACAATGACCTCCAGGGACTGGCGGGGAGAGGGGGTATTTTCCACTGCGCCCCCCAAGCTCACTCCCCTGCCCCAGCACACCTATGGTTGGTGCTTTCAGGCGCTCCTGCAGCCGCCACTGGATCTTAGGCTCCAGCAGAGGAAATGCAGGGAGGGAGTCAGTCCTGGAGGGAAGAGACTGGGGGGGGCCTGCCAGGCGAGGCACCGACGCCACTTCTCCTGAGGAAGGACAGATAACTGAGGCCCCATCCAGGCTCCGACCGCCCCACCTCCCACACGCCGCCCACCCTGGCCTAGACCCTCACCAGCCAGGTGCAGCAGCTGCAGCTGCCCACCCTGGCCTCCGAGGAGCAGGGGCTGCACGCAGCCGGGTCGGGGCGGAGGCAGCAGTTGGGCCAGCAGGAGTGGGGAGGGGAGGCCATGGTTCCACTTCAGCATCGGCACCAGGGGGAGGCGCTCATCCACTAGGTAGAGAGAGAACTGGGGCCCGAGAAAGAAGGGGGATGTGGCCGAACCTGGGAGCTGAGCTGTGTAGCGGCCCTCCAGGCCCCATGTGGCTCTCCGGGTGAGTACAGAGCCCTGAGGGGCAGCAGCATCTCCCATCAGCATCCAAGTGCCTCTCAGACCGCACCTGCCAGCCCTGAACAGGAAGTGCTTCCCGAGTGGGTGGCACCTTCACCGATTCTGACCAACAGCCAGGTGGACAGACAGAACAAGTGGGAAAGGTGTGCTCAGAAGAGGTGTGGGGGAGCCTTGCCAGCAGAAACTTGCCTGGCCTTCCCGCAGCCACCCCCACACTCTCCTGACCCCAGAGCCTATGCTGGAGGCATGCCTACAAACGTCCCCAGGAGGGCAGGGGGAGGACGGACCTGCTCCCTCAGAGCCCCTGCCTCCTGCACAGCAGAAACTGTCCAGCTCTGCACGAAAGCCCCACCCCGAGGCTCCTCCTCCCCCACCGTTCCACCCCTGGCTGTACCTTGAAGCCCTTACTAAGGGGAGGCCCTGGGAGAGCTTCCCCACCTGCCTGTTAGCACCGGCTGTGGGATCCACTGCGTGCTGGGGCCACAGATTCATCCAGGGTTGAGTGGTTTGCTGGGTGGTTGTCTGGGCCCAGCAGAGCCACTGGTAAGCAGCAGCCTCTAGTGCCCATCTGAGACAGAGCAGAGGTGGGGCGGGGCGGCGGTGTGTGCCACGCACCTGGGTACAGACGAGATGGAGAGTAGGGGGCAGGCATTCAGAGTTGGAGTGCCCCAGGTACTGGGTGAGCAGGACACGCTCCCCTTTCTGGCACGAAGCCTCTGCGCCCACACGAAAAAGCAACAGACCACAGCCCGGCGGGCCCTGGAAGAGAAACACAGGGTCAGCCCTCCCCACAGTCCCAGGCCCATGACGCCATCCTCGCCCAGGCCGCAGCCAGCCTGGGACTCACTGCTCTGCGGCTGCTCCCGCAGTCAGGGCAGATCTCCTGCCGCCACCCCATACCTGAGTGTCAACCATCTTCACTCCAGTGCGGTCACCCACAGTCAGCACCCGAGGGTGGGCGGTGAAGTCTGCCCAACGCCAGGAAGAGGAGTCCCGGAACACAAGGGTCTCGGGGTCCTTGTAGACTTGCTGCAGCCTTGGGGAGATGGGCAAGCCATGGGTAGAGGGGACAGGCTGATGTGGAAGGGAATCAAGGGTCGCGACATGCTGAACAGGGAGTGACGGGCCAGAGTTCAGTGTGTTAGGGTGGGGGGTTTCATGGGAAGTGGCAATACCCATCCTCAGGGCTCCACAGGCAGACGGCTCCTGAGCGGCTGCAGATGGCCAGCTCCCCGGGCAGGTGAGGGCTACAGGGCAGGAACGCATTCACATCAGGCTGCTCGGCCTGCCCCCAGCCCCTCCTCACTGACCAGACTGACTCCCCCTCACCTGAGGCTGATCCCTGTGGCCCCCTTCTCCACCTGCATTGCCTGCAGAAGGCTTGGCTGCCACTGTTTACCGAACTTCCACACGGCACAATGGTAGTCAGAGCGGACGGCCAGCAGAGCTGAGGAGGGATGGAAAGGGTCAGGGGTCAGGGGTCAGGCAGCAGGTCAGCCAGTGAGGGAGGAACATGTGTAAGGGCCTTACTTTCTCCCTGGACAGTGCATGTCACCACCTGCCGGACAGGTCCCTGGAGCTGGATGCGTCCAGGGTTCCCAAGGAATTGGGGACTGTCACCTGGGCTCAGAACAACCTCTTGAAAATCTGGGCCTCTCACTAAGGATCAGTGCACGAGCTGTGGCCACTGCAAGCCCCACATTCCTGCCCTTCCCTGGACCATGCCAAGAGCACCTCCTCCTCCACCAGACGGGAGCCCGCTGGGATCTCCTGTCTCGCAAGAAAGGATACGCAGCCTGTCCAGGGCGCCTCCAGCAGGGTAGACCAGCTGCCCGAACTGGGGTGTCCTTCCAGGCACCCAGGCCAGCGCACCCCCAGTGCAGGCCTCATCCAGAAGCAGCTGCTCCCACCGCAGCACCAGCTCCTCGTGCAGCAGCTCTGCCAAGTGGCTTGCCACCGATGTGCCCAGGATGGGGCCCCCAAGGATAGAGAAGCGGCGCTGTCGGTTGCTGAGGTAAGCCCAGGGACACCTGGGGACCAGAGAACAGCAGGAGGATCACTCAGTGGCACTCAGGGGAGGACAGGTCCCATCCCAAGGAGGCCAAGTGCAGTGGACACATTTCTTATTTACCTAGAATTTCTTCCTTTGGGAAACCACCCCATCCTGTTCCCATGCCCTGGAAGCAATCATGTGACCCAGACCTGGCCATCAACAATATTCCATTGCTCTTGCCACAGCGACTGGTTCACAGATGGGTGTGAGACCCAAGCCAAGCCAACCAAACTCCTCTCTGGGACTTCTGGTGCCTCAGGAAGGACACTGGCTCTTTCCTTAGATCATAAGCCATCTTGCTGCTACCTACAGACAGCCTGCCTAGGAACTGTGCAGGAAGAGGCAAGTGGACGACAGAGTAAAGAGAGACACAGCTCTACGAATATTATTTGAACACCTGGATGCAGCCATGCCTGAAGTCCACAAATTTAAATCTGCTTTCCCCTGAGATGATTTGGAGTTGGAAGTCTGGTATAAGAAAGTACAGCTCAGACTGCATGGAGCAGGTGGGAAGTGGGTATGACAGAAACCTGGATGTGCGTCCTAGCACCTCCTATATCCCCACCACCAGCTACGTCTATCCATCTCCTCCTTTCTCATTAGCCACTTGCCCCCAGGGCTGGTGTCCACCGAGGTCTTGGAGCAGTTTCTTCACACTGACCACTGTCGTCTTCTTAGTGCGGCTCTGCATGGAAAGGCCTCGTCAAGCTCACACACCCTCAAGTTCACCCCTGAAGGACAGCAGGGAGTCCCTACCCCTGGTGTCATGGGCCACTCACCCCTGCTCCCTCCAGCTTGAAATTCTCCAGCATCAGCTTCCCCAGGGGTGCAAAGGCTACGTCTCCATGATCCCAGAGGAACCGGCTGATCTGGGGAGAGGAGGAGGCCAGGTCACTAAGCATAGTCTCCAGGCTACGTAGCACTGTCCCCCGTGGGCCCACTCACCTGCTCAGTAACATCCAGCACGACTCGGGGTCGCCTCCGATACCGGTACCCTCCGCGGAAAAGCAGGTCCCGGGCAGTCAGGCCAGGGTCCCAGGGATCTGAGGAGGAGGTTACGGAAAGGGCTGGGGAGGGCACAGGAGTGCAGCCAGATGCCCTGGGCGACTGGAGGCATCCAAGGGCCCTGAGCGAGCACAGGCTTAGCAGGGAGAGGAAGGTCTCAGGAGTGGGAGCTGCGGGAAGAACAGCTGGAGCAGTGTGGAATGAGCCCGGGGGAATGAGACTCTCACCGATGAGGGAAGGCAGCATGGGGAGAGGCCCAGGGGTCGCCGGCTCCCACAGCAGGTCCTTGGTCACATGCAGTGCCCCACTCTGAAGGGAAGACAATCACGACAGTATCATGATAAGTGCCTTCCCCGGGCCAGGCGCTGCGCAGGCATTCATCTTTTATCAACTCATCCGATCCTTACAACAATCCTGCGAAGTTGGGATGACTGGCATTGTCACACTACCACCTGCCCCAGATGACAGAGCTGGTAAAGAGAATAGCTGGGATGTGAACCAGGCAGCCTGACCCCAGAGTTCATGTTTCTGACCTCCGCCTGTGCTGGCTCTCAAAGAAGGAAGCCCCTCATGCCACCAGTGGCTGGTCCACATCCCACTTAACCTCACTTCCATTCAGGAGACCTTGCAGTCACTCTGGGAGCCCGGCAGGCGGTTCCACCTCCCTTTGCTGGGCTGGCCTGAGATGTTTCAGCTCAAATGACACAGATCTAGCAAACCAGACTCCTCGAGGAGCCCCAATTTGATGTCAGACCTTCCCTCATAAGGAAGCCATCCCTGATCCCTGTTCCCCAAGCCCCCACTCCACTCTCTTTTTATTTGCTCATCCATTTGCCTCTGCCAGGCCTCATTCCTAGACAGGGTGTTTCCAAGGGGAACTAGGGGGCTGAGGATTCTAAGCAAAGGGCCAGTGTCCCTCCAGAGGCACCAGAAACCCTGGCAGGTCTATCCTCCCCTCTCCCAATCCTACTACGCTGTTTCAGCATCCTTCTGGTTTCATTCCAAGCTCTGATCACATTTTGTAAACACCTTATCCACTGGATAAAGTTCACTTGTTTATTCTCGCTCAACTCAGCTCTCCGTTCCAGGAAGGAAGGGGTCAACCGACTGATTCAGGCAGCATTTCCAGGGTCTCACATGGCATCCGGCATAGTGGGGGCATCCGTCTAGGGATGGCAGGGTAGCCCACGTACCCCAGAGGAGGTGGCACAGCCTGTGTCTCAGCAGACTTGTGTGAATGCCACCCCACTCTGTGGCCTTTCAACCGGTATGAATGTGAGACAGGGGACCCAGGAAGGGGTGCCCCTGGAGCTGCCAGGGCCCCCGCCTCCATCCTCACCTCTGAGTTCTGGGGCTGGGTCTCTGGCAGAGTCAGCGCATGTTGCCAGCTGCACATGAAAGAGAGGTCAGGGATGTCGCTCAGACCAAGGGGTCCAGTCATAAACAACGCGGGGCGGAGGGAGTGGGGGAAGTCCATCCCGGAAATAAGGACCAAGCACCACACTGGCCACCTCGAGAGACTGGAAGCTGGTAAGGGGCGCCAGGGTTCCTGAGGAGAGAAAAGTGCACGATGGAAAGCATATGCTCTTTGAGGAAGCAGATAACAAAAAACAAATACGTAGCCCAATGCCAAGCAGTACTGAAAACTGTATTAAAGCAAACCACCCGTCCAGGAGAAGGGGATCTGGTAATGGGCTGAGGGCACGGTTTCAGCAAACCCAGCCAGGAAAAGTCTCGTTGAGAAGGTGGCATTTGAGCACAGCCTGAACCCAGTGAAGGAGAGAACCACGTACACAACTGTGGAGAGGGTTCCAGGCAAAACGATCAACAACTGTGAAAATCCTAGAGCAGTGAAGTGTGTGAGAAACGAGGCAGCCAGAGTGAGCGAGGTGGAGAGCAGTAGAGTTGGAGTCAGATAGACGGCAAGGGGCAGCCTCTCTCACAGCTCGAAACATCATCATACATTTACAGACTACACCCCCAAGACGCTGGAGTTACTCCACAGCCACGGACTGCATCTCAGCATTGTCTTCCTACTGTCACGCACAGTGCCTCCCAGAAAATGCACTACGGGTTGAATAAAAATAAATTTCTATCACAAGAGGCCCGTCGCGGTGGCTCATGCCGGTAATCCTAGCACTTTGGGAGGCCAAGGCGGGTGGATCACCTGAGGTCGGGAGTTCGAGACTGGCCTGACCAACATGGAGAAACCTGGTCTCTACTAAAAATACAAAATTAGCCGGGCGTGGTGATGCATGCCTGTAATCCCAGTTACTCGGGAGGCTGAGGCAGGAGAATTCCTTGAAGCCGGGAGGCGGAGGTTGCAGTGAGCTGAGATCGCACCATTGTACTGCAGCCTGGGCAACAAGAGCGAAACTCCACCTCGAGAAAAAAAAATTATATCACAAGGCTTTGGTAAATACAGTCCTCTAGAAGTATGAGCAGCCATAGCATCCCTCCTTTTTAATTAACAAAACAAAACAGGGGCAAAAATAACAGCAGCTCTCACTGACCAAGCGCCAGCATCTATCTGCCAGGCGCAAGCTAAATGCTGCACTCTTCTACCGCAGCCCCTGTTACGGAGTTCAGGAAATCAAGGCTCAGCAGGAACTTTAGTTCAACAGCTCTTAGCTGCCACATCCAAGACTTGATTCCCATCCGATTCAGAGGCAGAGCTCTGAACCACTGCTCTCGCATGCACCCAAATGCAAACGCTAGCATTAGAGTCTCGCTAAACAAAAATCTTTTCCCTTTGGCCGAGTGCGGTGGCTCCCGCCTGTAATCCCCGCACTTGGAGAGGCCAAGGCGGGTGGATCACCTGAGGCCAGAAGTTTGAGACCAGCCCGGCCAATATAGTAAAACCTTGTCTCTACTAAAAATACAAAAATTAGCAGGGCGTGGTGGTGCACACCTGTAATCGCAGCTACTGAGGAGGCTGGGGCACGAGAATCGCTTGAATCTGGGAGGTAGAGGTTGCAGTGAGCTGGGATCATGCCACAGCACTCCAGTCTGGGTGACAGAGCAAGACTCCATCTCAAAAATAAGATAGAAACAAAAATATTTTCTCTTGGAACCGCATAACCTGAAACGATCCTAGGCAGGCGGAGAGGGCTGGTGGAGCGCACGACCCCACAAAAGCCCTCAGACAAGGCAGCCTCGACTTCCCCGGCCGGCTTCCTGCCCTCGCTGCGGGCTCTCCAGGCCCCTTTAGACCTCCCAGGCTACAGGACTCAGTCGGGTCCGCACTAACGACAGGCCGGGGACTGCGAAACGTGAGCCAGCCGCGGGGACGGGGGATTGGGGGAGTCCCTCCCCTCCTACATCTGCGGGTCCACTCCTCTCGAACATGCCCAGTCCGCGCGGAGGGGGGCATGCACTTACGTGACCCCGGTCTCGTCGTGGTCGTCTGGAAAGTGGACTTCGGCGTGATGCTCGCCGGACCCTGACACCACGAGGGAAATTTTAAGTAGAACCCCAGCTTTGGCACTCAGGATGGGTCAGCCCCGCCGCAGCTACTCACGGTCTTCCGGTTTAGACCGGAAGTGCCTGCTGGTGAGGCAGGAAGTCCCACCTCCCAGCCAGGCCTCTTAGGGTCCTGGCGCGCCCCCTCCCGGGAGGAGAGGGAACGGGCGTGCAGGCGGCGCGTGGGCTGCGGAAATAAAGCTCCCTCGAGTTCCAATAGTGGAGGCCGGGTGGACTTAGGTTCGAATCCCACATCTGCTTCATCAATTTCCTCAGCGTTGTATTAAATTAATCATTTAACGAACTCTCACGGAGCACCTACTATAAGCCAGACACTGTATTAGTCAGTAGGTATCCTACTGATTGTCCTTAAATCCCAAGAAGCGGGCTTCACAAATAAGGGTACAAATACCTCCTAAGAGTGAGGCTTTTCCAGGGGTGGTCGTGCAGGGAGAGCTTTAGGCAGTGGTCCTCAAACTCTAGCTAGTGTGCGTCAGCATTAGCACCTGGAGGGCTTGTTAAAACACAGTCTCCAATTCGGTGAGTCTGGGGTGGGGCCTGATAATTTGCCTAAGTTCCCTTCCCAGGTGATGCTGATACTGCGTATCTGGGGCCCATGCTGTAAGAACCGCTGTCCAGTCATAAACCTTACCATTATCCTAACATAGTAGTTCTCAAACTTGAGTGAGCCTTAGAACCACCTGGGGGACTTGTTATAAGTATGCTAGGCTCCACCCTACCTCTGCCCCCCGATTTGCTAATTCAGTAGGTCTGGGATGTGGCCCAAGAGTCTGCATTTCTAGCAAGTTCCCAGATGGTGCTGGTCCAGGGGCCATACTTTGAGAACCGTTGCTTCAAATAATCAATTTCTAAATTCTCAGCTGTCATCTGTATCTTTATTTATTTATTTTTTTGAGATGGAGGCTAGAGTGCAAAGGCGTGACCTCGGCTCACTGCAACCTCCGCCTCCTGGGTTCAAGCAATTCTCCTGCCTCAGCTTCCCAAGTGGCTGGGATTACAGGCCTGCAGCACCATGCCCGGCTAATTTTTGTATTTTTAGTAGAGGTGGGGTTTCACCATGTTGGTCAAGCTGGTCGAACTCCTGACCTCAAGTGATCCGCCTGCCTTGGCCTCCCAAAGTGCTGGGATTACAGGATGAGCCACCGTGCCTGGCCTATATTTTTTTTTTCTGGAAGTTTTTACCTGGACTAAAAGTGTCAGCAGGGCTGTGTTCCTTTTGGGAGGTTCTAAGGAAGAGTCCACTGTGTTGCCCTTTCTGGCTTCGGGAAGCTGCCTGTGTTCCTTGGTTCATGACCCCTTTCCATCTTCGAAGCCAGCAATGCCAGCTGGATTCTTCTCATGAGGCCATCTCTCTGGTTTTGACTCTTCTGTCTCCCTCTTTCCCATGTAAGGACCCATGTGATTATAGTGGGCCCACCCAGGTAATCCAGCATAATCTTCCTATGTTATTTATTTTTTTGAGACAGGGTCTCACTCCATTGCCCAGGCTAGGGTGCAGTGGTACCATCATGGCTCACTGCAGCCTCAACTTCCCAGGCTCAGATGATTTTCCCACCTCAGTCTCTCGAGTAGCTGGGATTACAGGCACGCGCCACCATGCCTGGCTAATTTTTTTATTTTTTTGAGACAGAGTTTCACTCTGTCACCCAGGTTGGACTGCAGTGGTGCGATCTTGGCTCACTGCAACCTCCGTCTTCCAGGTTCAAACGATTCTTCTGCCTCAGCCTCCCAAGTAGCTGGGATGACAGGTGCCTGCCACTACACCCAGCTAATTTTTCTATTTTTAGTAGAGACAGGGTTTCACCATATTGGCCAGGCTGGTCTTGAACTCCTGGCCCTTTGATCCACCCGCCTCGGCTTCCCAAAGTGCTGAGAATACGGGCGTGAGCCACCGCGCCCAGCCTAATTTTTGTAGTTTTTGTTGAGATGGGATTTCATTATGTTGCCCAGGTTGGTCTTGAACTCCTGGGCTCAAGCTACCCTCCTACCTCGGCTTCCCAAAGTGCTGAGAATACGGGCGTGAGCCACCGCGCCCAGCCTAATTTTTGTAGTTTTTGTTGAGATGGGATTTCATTATGTTGCCCAGGTTGGTCTTGAACTCCTGGGCTCAAGCTACCCTCCTACCTCGGCTTCCCAAAGTGCTGGGGTTACAGGCATGAGCCCTATTTTAAAGTCAGCTGATTAGCAACCTTACTTCCACCTGCAACCTTAATGCCCCCTTGCCAAATAATATACTCATAGGTTCTGGGGATTAGGCTGTAGGCATCTTTGGGGGAACCATTATTTTGCCTACCACACTAATATTCTATATTAACCTTATAAAACACCTATCCAGCTCTGGCACTGGGAGGCCAATTCCATTTCTTCCTTCCCTCCTTTCTCTGAATAAGCCATTATCAATTTGCTTTTGTAACTGACATATACTTAACATGCAGTAAAGCACACAAGTCTTAAATGTACAACTCATTGAGTTTTTATTAATACATACATAGAAACCCACATAAACACCACCCAGATCAAGACAGAGAACATTTCTATCACTCAAGAAAGTTCCAGCCAGGCACAGTGGCTCATGCCTGTAATTCCAGCACTTTGGGAGGCCGAGGTGGGAGGGTTGATTGAGTCCAGGAGTTCAAGACCAGACTGGGCAACATAGCAAGACCCCCGTCTCTACAAAAAAAATTTTTTTTTTAAGAAAATTCCCTGGCACCACTTTCCGGTCAATACTTCCTTAAAGAAGGAACCACTGTTTGAACTCTTATCACCATAGATTAGTTTTGCCAGTTCAAGAACTTTACATAAGTGGAATCATGGAGAGGATGTGTCTGGCTTCTTCTGCACCCTGTGCCTAATAGATTCACCTGTGTTGTGCACGCAGCTGTTGGTTCCTTTTTAAATTACTGAGTCGTGTTCCATTGTATGAATATACCACCATTCACCATTTACTTGTTCACGCAACCTCCTGTTGGTGAGCGCTTGGGGCATTATTGGGTTTGATGACTTTGTGGAAGTCTCTCTGTGGATATGTGCAGCCCTCAGTCCATTTCTGGACATCTGCTGTGCTGTCCCTTCACTCTCCTGGGCCTCATCCCACTCTCTGGGCTGCACACACACACAAAATGGAATTGTTCTTCCTGATGTCAATCCTTGACATGTTGAGGAGGCCGATTACCCAGCCCACCACACCTGCTCCTCCCAAGTCAAAGGTTCTGGGAGGATTCCACCACCTGCTCCTTATATGCCCCAGCACGCTCACTGTCACAATCCTGATGAGCGCTGATAGGCCCAGCTTCAGCAGCAGCAGCAGCAGCTTCAGCAGCAGCAGCAGCAGCAGCAGCAGCAGCAGCAGCAGCAGCAAGCACTGTGACAAATCTTACAGACACCGGTCATGCTTTCCCAAGTAAGTGGCTACTGTAAGACTCAGTTAAACGTGCAGCCTCCTTCAAGCAAATACGCGTTGCATCACAGTAAGCCTCGTATAAATTGTCTTCATCCTTGTATTCATCTTATTTTTCCTATTTCTCTTGATCTCTAGCTCCTCACTTTAAACAATTGTTATCTTGTGGTATTTTTATGAATCAACTCAAAATCCCTTCTTGGGGGGAAAAAGGCAGAGTGTCAAATGGCTATTTAAATTTTTTTTTTTTTTTTTTGAGACGGAGTCTTGCTCTGTTGCCCATGCTGGAGTGCAGTGCCACAATCTCAGCTCACTGCAGCTTCTGCCTCCCAGGTTCAAGTGATTCTTCTGCCTCACCCTCCTGAGTAGCTGGGACTACAGGCGTGCGCCACCACGCCAGGCTACATTTTGCATCAAATGGCTAATTCTTAGCTTGAGAGCACTTCTGTTTGACTTCAGAAAGGCCTGCAGTGAAATTTTATAGCGTGGATTCCAATGACCCTGCTGACAGTGTGAACCCGGAATTCCTGTGTTGAAGTCTCCAGGCTCAGCCAGTGAAGCAGCTGAGCAGCCTATGATGTGGAGGTCCCTAGGGGCCTACGGCAGGAGCCAGAGAGTGGAACTGGACCTGAGGCCCCCAGATCCTCCTTCCCCGCCTTCAAGGCTCCGCGACCACCCACGGTTAGAGAAGCAGCTGCTAGAGCAACCCCTCACCCACCTGCCAGAACTTCCGTTCAGGCAGTGAGACGTTGGCCTCAGCCATAAGCATCCAAGCCGCCGCGGTTGGGAGACTAGCTTTCCCATTGGCAGGATGCACTGTCCGTCAGAGACCTAAGGGCTCTCATTGGCCAGCGGTGTGGCAGGGGTGGAGCGCACCATGCTTGTCCACGTGGTCCCCACGTGAAGGAACCCGCCCTGCGCATGTGAAAGGGCGAGAGCAGCGCGAGATAGGGCCCAGCGCCTCAGATCTTTGTTGGCGACCATGGCTTCGGCTTCTCAAGGCGCTGACGACGGCAGCCGCAGGAAACCCCGCCTGGCTGCCTCGTTGCAGATCAGCCCCGAGCCCCGCCCCTGGCGACCGCTACCCCCTCAGGCCCAAAGTGCCTGGGAGCCCGCGCCCGCGATGGACCACGCGGAGGGCGGGCAGCCCCAGGTCTCGGTGTTGAGGGACAGTGGGCCTGGGGCAGGGGCCGGAGTCGGGGAACTGGGGGCAGCCCAGGCGTGGGAAAACTTGGGGGAACAGATGGGGAAGACCCCGAGGGTCCCTGTGCCCCCCGCAGGGCTGAGCCTGCCGCTCAAAGACCCACCTGCCAGCCAGGCCGTGTCCTTGCTCACGGAGTACGCGGCCAGCCTGGGCATCTTCCTGCTCTTCCGGGAGGACCAGCAACCAGGTGAGGCCGGGCCGGGGCGTGGGTGTGCCAGAGGACAGAGCCGCGGAGGGCTGGGTCCCAGGACACGGGGAGGGGGTCTGAGGAAGGTGGACCTTGGTCCCTATGCTCAGAGACACCGCCAGAGCAGGACCTGGCCTGAGCCTGAGACCTCGGGGTGGACCCTGCTGTGAGCAGCGGTCTCCAAGAATCACCAGCCACACCAGATGCTCAGCTGTGGCAGGGTCATGGCAGGTGAACGTTCTCTCCACCTGAGGTCCAGGGAGACTGAGGCCCCTTGATATTTCTGCATACGTTTTTAGAGCCACTTACACGCAATTTCAGTTGCCATGCCGGCATTGGAGATACCGGAACGAGAGCCACTCCCCTGACGTAAAGACGTTATTAAGCACAGCTTGGTAAATGTAACACCGTGTGTATGATACAGAGGTAAACCGTTATTTCCTCTTCTTCAGTACATACCCCTCAAACCCCTTGACTCTGTGTGTGTGTGTGTGTTTAAGCCAGGGTCTTACTCTCTTGTCCAGACTGGAGTGCAGTGGAACAATCTTGCCTCACTGTAGCCTCTGCCTCCTGGGCTCAAGTGATACTCCTGCCTCAGCCTCAGCCTCCGGAGGAGCTGGGACTACAGGTGGACTCCACTACACCTGGCTAATTTTTTTTTTTTTTGTAGCGATAATGTGGTTTTACCATGTTGCCAAGATTGGTCTTGGAAATCCTGGGCTGAAGCTATCCGCCCGCCTAGGCCTCCAAAGTGCTGAGATTACAGGCGCGAGCCACCACACTTGGCCCAGGGTTTTAATTTAAAAGTTAATTGCAGACATTATGCTCCTTACCTGTAAGACATTATGCTCCTTACCTGTAAGACATTATGCTCCTTACCTGTAAATACGTTCACGTGTTTGTGTGTGTATGTTTTTTTGGTTTTTGTTTTTTTTTTTTTTTTTTTTTGAGACGGAGTTTCACTCTTCTGGCCCAGGCTGAAGTACAGTAGCACGATCTTATCCCACTGCAACCTCTGCCTCCCGGGTTCAAACAATTCTCCTACCTCAGCCTTCCGAGTAGCTGGGATTACCGGTGTCCACACCAAGCCCGGCTAATTTCTTTTTGTATTTTTGGTAGAGATGGGGTTTCACCATGTTGGCCAGGCGGGTCTCAAACTCGTGACCTCAAGTGATCCGCCCACCTTGGCCTCCCAAAGTGCTGGGTTACAGGCTAGAGCCACCTTACCCAGCCCTCTTTTTTTCTTTTTTTTCCTTTGAGAGAGTCTTGCTTTGTTGCCTAGGCTGGAGTGCAGTGGTAAGATCTCAACTCATTGCAACCTTTGCCTTTCGAATTCAAATGATTCTTGTGCCTCAGCCTCCTGAGTAGCTGGAATTACAGACTTGTGCCACCGTGCCCAGCTGATTTTTTTGTGTTTTAGTGGAGACAGGTTTCACCACGTTGGCCATGCTGGTCTTGAATTCCTGTCCTCAGCCCCCCGAAGTGCTGGGATTACAGGAGTGAGCCCCTGTGCTCAGCCTCATATATATTTCTTAAGAACAAGGGCATCTCTTATGTAACTACATACAATTATCAAATCCTGGAAATTTAACATTAATATACTACGATCTTCTAATTTCTATTCACATTCAAATTTTGCCAGTTGTCCCAGTAATGACCTCGTGGCCATTTTCTCCCACCCCAGTATGACATTACAGTTAGTTGTCATGCCTCTTTAGTCTCTTACCTGAAACAGTTCCTGTCTTTGTCTTTCACAATATTGATGTCTTTGAAGAGTAAGGGCTGGTAGTTTGGCACATGTCCTTCAGTTTGGGTTTGTTTTCTCGGGACTGAGTTCAGGTGATGTGTTATTGAAGTGATGTCGAGTCCTTGGCCACGCATCTCACCGGGAGGTTTGCAATCTTGGTTTGTCCCCTGGCTATGTGACCTGCGGGGATTTGACTAGGGTTGCATCTACCAGGTGTCTTCACTTTCTTCTTTGTGCTGAATAAGTCATCCAGGGGCATTTGGAGATCTTGTAGATATCCTGTCCCCATAACATTGTCACTTGTGGTTTTAGAAAATCATGCTTTGATGGTTCTCCCCAGATTCAGTCGCTGTTAGGATGGCAGCCACGTGCTGGTTTTCTAAGGTCAACATCCCTTCCACGTCTGTCTGTGGTTGCTGGTTGTGATGCCCGTTTAGAGCAGACAGATCTCAGTGCTAGTGAGGAGTGCTGAAATGGGTTCCCTTCCAAAAGGGAAGTCCCCAGAGGGGCAGTGCTTGGGAGAAACAGTTTAGCAGCAAGTACTGTGAAATTAAATAAGCCTGCACCTTTGACCATGTGATCCCAGTTCCAGATTTTTCATCTATTTTGTGTTATAAGTAACACCCAAAATGATACTGTTTCATAGAAAAGGTGTTCAAATACAGGGCCACTGGAGGAGAGGAAATAAAATCAATGTGTGTGTGGCAGGTGGAAGTGCTTGGCGGCTTCCTCCTGAGAACAGGGTGGCGTGGGCTCTGGAGAGGGGACCTGGATATGGGTCCTAACACAACTTGGGCAAACTGCCTGCCCTTTCTGCTCATCTGTGAAATGGAGTCACGCATCCCTCTTGTAGAGGAGTTGGGCGAGGACTTGGTTGAGTCAGCGATGGGTCACAGCCTACAGAGGCACTCAAGGGTGTGCGGGGCATGGGGTGGAGATGGAGCCCGGTGGAGTAAGGGAAGGGCAGTCAGGGTCTCGTTACTCTGGCTGTCCTCGATGTCAGGTGTCAGGAGGAGGCAGAGGTGGTACCTGTCACAGGGCCAAAGGCCGGGGGGCTCCTTCCTCACCTTGCTCCTTCCCCAGGTCCCTGCTTCCCCTTCTCTGTGAGCGCGGAACTGGATGGGGTGGTCTGCCCTGCGGGCACTGCAAACAGCAAGACAGAGGCTAAACAGCAGGCAGCGCTCTCTGCCCTCTGCTACATCCGGAGTCAGCTGGAGAGCCCAGGTAATGAAGGGAGGGCCAGGCAGCTGAGCCGCAGCTGGGACAAGAGGCCCGAGGCCGGCAGTGCCGTGGGGAGGCTGAAGTGGCTGTGCGTGTGGGCAGGAGGTGGGTTGCTGCACGAACCATCTGGGCATCAGGACATCACCTGCAGGGAGCTGGGGCGGGGGACAGGTGCCGGTCCCTGCTTTCATGTCCTCTGGGGACACTGGGGGTAGGGACTGCTAGAAGAGCAGCTCATGGAATGTCCTGTGTCTGGAAGATGAAAACTTCCTCTCCCCTGTTCCTTGGCTTCCTGAGGGATGGAGGGTGTGCCTTGGCACCCACACCAGCCCATCCTCCTTGTCTCTTCCAGAGTCCCCCCAGACCTCCAGCCAGCCTCCACCGCCCCCCCTGAGCGTAGGTAGGTGAGCTCTTGTGGACGCAGGCTCTAGTGTTGAGGGGAGAGGCGTGGGCCCCCTTCTACTGCACTCTCTTGCCCCGGCACAGACAGCATCCTGACCCATGGGCAGCGCTGCGCAGCCTTGGTGAGCGCCGGCTTTGACCTCCTGTTGGACGAGCGCTCACCATACTGGGCCTGTAAGGGGACTGTGGCTGGAGTCATCCTGGAGAGGGGTAGGGATCGCCCCAGCCCCAGCCCTGGTCTCCTGGGAAGGGCCCCCTCGAGCTGCTTGCCTTAGGCTGGGCCCTCTCTGCCCTCCCTGCACAGAGATCCCGGGTGCCAGGGGCCACGTGAAGGAGATCTACAAGCTGGTGGCCCTGGGCACCGGCAGCAGCTGCTGTGCCGGCTGGCTGGAGTTCTCGGGCCAGCAGCTCCATGACTGCCATGGCCTGGTCATCGCCCGCAGGGCTCTGCTGAGGTGAGGGGCTGTGGGGTGGGCGCCTGACAGCAGCCTTTGCCAGGACAAGGTCGTCCCCAACCACCCTCTACCTGTCACTCCTAGGTTCTTGTTCCGGCAGCTCCTGCTGGCCACACAGGGGGGCGCCAAGGGCAAGGAGCAGTCCGTGCTGGCCCCCCAGCCGGGGCCCGGACCCCCATTCACCCTCAAGCCCCGCGTCTTCCTGCACCTCTACATCAGCAACACCCCCAAGGGCGCGGCCCGTGACATCTAGTATGCAGGGCCCCTGGGGCAGGCGGGGGATGGGGTGCCCTCGGTTGGGCTGCTGGGTGGGGGCCAGGGTCAGAAGAGTGGCCCTGATGCTGGTGTCTGTCCCCTCCCGGCCTGCAGCCTGCCCCCCACCTCAGAAGGCGGCCTCCCGCACAGCCCGCCCATGCGCCTGCAGGCCCACGTGCTCGGGCAGCTGAAGCCTGTGTGCTACGTGGCGCCCTCACTGTGTGACACCCACGTGGGCTGCCTCTCAGCCAGTGACAAGCTGGCGCGCTGGGCCGTGCTGGGGCTGGGTGGTGCCCTGCTGGCCCACCTGGTGTCTCCACTCTACAGCACCAGCCTCATCCTGGGTGAGCACGTGGCGAGGGCTGGAGGGTGGGAGGGGAGGGCAGGGAGGTCGCTCACCTTGTCCTGTCCCTTCTGCGCTGCAGCTGACTCATGCCACGACCCTCCGACTCTGAGCAGGGCCATCCACACCCGGCCCTGCCTGGACAGTGTCCTGGGGCCATGCCTGCCACCTCCCTACGTCCGGACCGCCCTGCACCTGTTTTCAGGGCCCCCAGTGGCCCCCTCTGAACCTACCCCTGACACCTGCCATGGCCTGAGCCTCAACTGGAGCCTGGGGGACCCTGGCATCGAGGTTGTGGATGTGGCCACTGGGCGCGTGAAGGCCAAGTGAGAAGGGCTCCGTGGGGCCGGGCTGAGGAGGGGTCCTGGTGATGGAGGGCTCCATGCATGAACTTCCTCACCTCAGGTCTAACCCCAGCTCAACCCCTTAGCTCAACCTCTTGGCTCAACCCCTTACTAGCTCCGTAGTGGTGGTGACACCACTGCCTGTCCTGTGACTCCTGTGACAACGTCACAGTGTGAGAGGAGGTAGTGTGAGGCGTGTGGCAGGCCTGCTGGTCCAGCTTGTATCTCTCTTATCTCAGTGGCATCCTCTCTTCATCCAGTGCTGCCCCGGGGCCTCCCTCCCGTCTCTGCAAAGCATCCTTTCTCCGGGCGTTTCACCAGGTGGCCAGGGCTGTGGGGAAGCCCTACCTCTTGGCCTTGAAGACCTACGAGGCTGCCAAGGTCGGTCCCCATCAGTCCTGGTCCCTCTCCAGCCCTGCAATCCCTGCCCCCTGCAGGCACCTTCTCTCACCCACCTCTCATCTCCTGCCCTAGGCTGGGCCCTACCAGGAGGCTCGCCGGCAGCTCTCTCTCCTCCTGGACCAGCAGGGCCTGGGGGCTTGGCCCTCGAAGCCACTGGTGGGCAAATTCAGAAACTGAAGCCGGCCTCGGCGGGCCCAAGGTCCCGGAGCCAAGCTGTACCCCTGCTGGGGGAGTGCCCTGTCTGAGGAGGGTTGTGGGGGAGAACGTGGGTTGTGCAGGGTGAAACTGAGGCTGGAGGGAAGGAGGAGCCTGCTGTGGTTGGGATGCTGCTGCTGCACATTTGGGCTTGAATAAAGAAGTATTTCTGGTGACTGTGTAGTTGGCTGTGTGTGTTTTGGGGTGGCCAGGGGCCTTTTGTTTGCGGGTAGAGCCCCTCACGCCTCCTTTGGGAAGCCCTGTGTTCACTGGGCTCCCACCTGGATCCTCTCACTGAGCCACTGAATTGTCACCCCAGCCCCTGTTCACAGGGCTGGAGGCAGGTTTAGGAGGGGAGGTGATCTCCCCTGGTTCCTCCTGTTTTCCAGCCTGCGTTCTGGGGGAGGCCACTGAGGCCATGGGTTGTGGGGGTTGTAAAGGGCGGGAGGAGGGCAGGCTGCTTGGGTATGTGAGCATTTTGTCCTCTGGCCACGACTGGGGCTCCAAATCCTTACCTTTCTGGGCCCCTAGGATGGGGGGAGTGGCAGAGAACACCCTTCCCTGGTCAGAGTTCAGCTGCCGTGGCCCTCGATGGTGCTGTGGGTGTCGGGGCAGCCCCGTGTTGAAGGATGTGGGGAGGGCATGAGCAGCATCAGTCCTTTCCCTGGACTGCCTGACTGTTTGACCTGGGCAAGTCATTGGACTGCTAGAGCCTGTGTCTTCCACTGTGGAGAGGGACAGTGCTCCTGCCCGGTGTGGGCTCGGCAGTTCTCTCTCCTTTTTCCCCAGGGTAGCATAGTAAGCCCACGTGGCAGTCAGGCGCTCTGTTGACTCTGGATGGGGAGAGAAGATGGTAGCACTAAAAGCATGCGCGTGTGCGCACACATACACACACAGCCCTGGAGCTTCGCCGGCATGGGCATTATATCCGTTGAGCGAGGAGCACAGCAGCTTTGAAGTCCAGGGACCTGGGGCCAGGGATGGTAGAGGACCATGGCCAGCCCTGTGACCCTCACCCCGTGACTCCCTCCCTGCATCTCCAGCAGTTGCCCTGTGACCCCCACACCCCTGTGACTTCCCTCCCTGCATCTCCAGCGTTGCCCGGGACCCCCACCCCGTGACTCCCTCCTGCATCTCCAGCAGTTGCCCTGTGACCTCACCCCCCGTGACTCCCTCCCTGCATCTCCAGCAGTTGCCCTGTGACCCCCACCCGTGGCTCCCTCCCTGCATCTCCAGCAGTTGCCCTGTGACCCCACCCGTGACTCCCTCCCTGCACTCCAGCGTTTGCCCTGTGACCCTCACCCCGTGACTCCTCCCTGCATCTCCAGCAGTTTGCCCTGTGACCCCCACGCCTGACTCCCTCCCTGCATCTCCAGCAGTTGCAGGGTTCAGAACCACAGGCTGTTCTCCCCTGTGGGCCTTGGGACACTGGTCAAAGATGGTGTGATGGTTAATTTTGTGTCGACTTAACTGGGCTAAGGGATGCCCAGATGGCTGGTAATGCATTATTTCTAGGTGTCTGTGGGGTGTCTCTGGGAGGGATTGACACCTGATCATTGGGCTGAGTAAGGAGATTGCCCTCCCCAGTGCAGGCAGGCACCATCCAATCCATTGAGGGTCTGAAAAGAACAAGCAAGCAGAGGAAGGTGAATTCACTCTCTCCGCTGGAGCTGGGACATCACAACTCCTGGGTCTGTGGCCTTCAGACTTGGACCAGGACTCACGCCACTGGTTTTCCCAGTTCTCAGGCCTTTGAGTGTGGGCTAGAACACCATCACCCGGGCCCCCAGCACTCACAGCAATTGGTGGGACTGCTTAGACTCCATATCGTGTGAGTCAATGCCTCACAGTACAACTCTGTATATCCTGTTGGTTCTCTTTCTCTAGAGAACCCTGACCAATGCAGACAGCCCCCTCCAGAGCTGTCACTCAGGGCCAGGCCTGATGCTGAAGTCGTGAGATTGGGTCCTCTCCCTCCAACCCCTCTTGTCTCTGCCACTGGGCATGTGTGGCCATGGCCATGGCCATGGCCAGCCACTTAACCTCCGTGCATGTGCGTCGACTCTTCTAGAGAAATAATCAGAGGGCTGGTCCCAGGGGTGTGTTCCTGGCCAGCCTGCCCGTCTGCAGGCCTAGGCTTTCCCTCTGCTTTCACTGGGCTCATGCTGTCTCCTTTTCCCACAGTGGTGATGACCTGGGAGAATCTGAGGGAGGTGGGGTGGAGGAAACAGCACCAGTGGACAGATCAGATAGCTCCAGCAGGCCCCAGCCAGAAGCGTGGCGTATCTGTTCTGTTTTAACCTCCCACAGCTCGCCATGATAGATGCAATCATTGCCTCAGTGTACAGGTGAGGAAACTGGCAAGGTGCAGTTAGGTAACTTCTGGAAGAGCACCCAGCACCTGAGGTGGGCTGGAGCTGTGGTAATGTGCAGGCCGCCGGCCTTCCAAGCCGTTCAATTGCAGTCACCACCCACAGCTGCAGCTGGATTTCCTTACATGACCTTGGATGAAACCCTGAGCCCCAGTTTGCTCATTTATAAAACAAGGACTAGGTGATAGCCTTCCTAACGTTCCCTCGTGTTCTCTGCTCTGCTCTTTCCCGACTGCTGCAGGAGGTCAGGAGGATGCCCGGAGCTGCAGGCTGGCAGGCTGCAGGGGGGCGAGGCTGGAGCTGGGAGCATCAGGTCGGGAACATGGCAGCAGGGAGGGCCGGAGAGGGGAGCTGAGGCAGGAGGAGCTGCAGTTCACAGGTGCAAAGGACAGCAGGTGAGCCCTTGCCGAGGGAGGAGGACTGCAGAGAGGTGTTCGCACCAGCACGAAAGGTCCGCAGGGCCTGGAAAGCCAGGAAAGCACCGATTTCTTGTTTGAGAAAACAAAGATTTTTACCTTAGGTTTTGCTTTTTTAAAAAAACAAAAAACAAACAAACAAACAAAAAAACCACTTCTCAGGCCAACATTGAAATAATTATTTCTCACTCTTTTTTTTCAGGGATGGAGCAGGGGATTTAAAAACACCCAAACCTATTAATTAGCCTGTGTATTACACATTGTTTTCCCCAGGAAATAATTTAAATTGATTTTCTTTCTGTACTGCAGTAGTAACTACAACCAGATCTGGAAATACACCAGCCATTTCAAACTTCAGTTGGATGCAATGAGCCTTTTGGTGTTCATTAATCACATAATCACTGGGTAAATCAGTTATTCAAATTGGCATTAACTCTGTTGTGTTCCGCCAAATAAATATTTGTCCCCACATTGCATAAATCTGCTTGTCCAATCCTTTCCTCCCAAGACAGTCTTTTCACGACACCAGAGTCGCTCGGTTCTTTTGACTCAGCTTGTTCGTTACTGCGGGGTGATGATGAAAGCTACTTTTGAAATGCAGATCTGTTAATGCCTAGTTGGCCGTATCTCCTCTGGGTGAAGTTTTGCCAACAGCAGCATATTCAAATTGGGAAGTGATGTAATTTCACTTGGCACAAGTCAAATTACCTCCGAGTGCCCTCCCGTCACTCCATCCTTCCTCCTGCAGCCCAGGGCACCCTCTGTTCCGTGCTGACCCGTGCGTTGTCTTCACTCCGACAGAGTGTGCCGAGTGGAAGTGTAGACCTGGGAAGTCTCTGGGAAGCCAGGGCGCTGCTCTGTCTCCCCAATCCTCAGTTTCCCCACTTGCCAACTGAGACGGGGTCACAGACATGCAGCCTGCAAGGCCATGGTGAGATGAGGTGGGAAGTGCACCCTGCACTGTTCATAGCTCTCTCGGCAGCCCTCAGCAGTGACTGTCATCAGGCCTGTCTGCCATTAGCTCCTAGCATGGGGCCTTGTCCCTTTCTCTCCATCTTCACCTGTGGGGCCTCCCACATAGAAGGTGCCCAACAAGCAAGCACTGAATGGAAAATTAGTTAACTAGAGGATCACTTGCAGGAGTGTAACCCACCCCTATATAGAGAGAGACCAGAAACACTGTCCTCAAAACCCTTTAGAAGACAGTTTGAAAATTTCGATTGTGTTCTGAGCCCTTTTCCTCTGCCCTGCAGCAGTCAGTGAGGACCTAGAGAAAAGTTAGTGAGTGTCTAGAAGAAAGTAAATTGTTACCTTGCCTCATGGTTTAGTGGTGACATTACCTTTTAAAAATTACAGTTTTAAAGATACATATATATTTTCTGTCACCCAGGCTGGAGTGCAATGGAATGATCTCATCTCACTGCAACTTCAGCCTCTCAGGTTCAAGTGATTCTCCTGCCTCAGCCTCCTGAGTAGCTGGGACTACAGGTGCCCACCACCATATCTGACTAATTTTTGTATTTTTAGTAGAGATAGGTTTTCACCATGTAGGCCAGGCTGGTGTCAAACTCCTGGCCTCAAGTGATCCACCAGTCTCGGCCTCCTAAAGTGCTGGGAATACAGGCATGAGCCACCATGCCTGGCCTAAAAGATATTTTTTAAATCGATTTTCCTGGGTATCCAGAGGCAGCAGGATGAAGTACCCTTCCCTCTGTGCCATGCAGTAATATTAACTCAAATTGGATCACACACCTAATGCAAGAGCCCAAACTGCAAAACTCTCAGAAGAAAACATAATAGTACAACTTTATGACCTTGAGTTAGGCAAAACTTTCTTAGATACGTCATCAAAAGCATCATGACAAAAGAAAAAATAGAAAAATTGGGACTCCATCAAAATAAAAACCTTTGTGTTTCAAAGGGCACCATCAAGAAAGTGAAAAGAAAACTCACGGAATAGGAGGATATTCTTGCAAATCATGTATCTGATAAGGGACATATGTCTACAGTATATAAAGAACTCTTACAGCTCAGTAATAAATTCAACCCAATGAATGGGCAAAGGATATGAATGGACATTTCTCCAAAGAAGACACACGGTGGCTCAGGTTTGTAACCCCAGCACTTTGGGAGGCCAAGGTAGGTGGATCACTTGAGGCCAGGAGTTCGAGACCAGCCTGGCCAACTTGGTGAAACCCCATCTCTACTAAAGATATAAGAAAAAATTAGGGCCAGGCGCGGTGGCTCAAGCATGTAATCCCAGCACTTTGGGAGGCCAAGACGGGCAGATCATGAGGTCAGGAGATCGAGACCATCCTGGTTAACACGGTGAAACCCCATCTCTACTAAAAAATACAAAAAATTAGCCAGGCGTGGTGGTGGGCGC